TGGAACGAAGAGGAAGAAAAAGAAAATTAAAATGAAAGAAAAAGCAAAAAAAAAAAAGAAGAAAAAAGAAAAAGGAACACTAAAGAAAAGGAAAGGAATAGAAAACAAAACAACAACAACAACAACAACAAAAAATTCGATTTTGAAAACGTTCGCGATCTTGCACCGTTGATAAAAAAGACGCGAAAGAAAAAGAAGAAAATGCACAGAGATAGAGAGAGAGAGAAAAAAAAGAAGGATAAAGAAAAAAGGAAACGAAAACAAGGAAATAGATGAAAATAGAATGAACAAGGAAGGAGGAAATAGAAGACTGTGGAGGGAGGGAGGAGGGAAGGGGGGAGGGCCTTAGCGTTTTAAACGATGTCGCTTCCGACTCGTTAAAAAATCGATAACTCGTTTAGGGATATCAGACAACCGAGTCGATTACTAGTTCGTTGCGTTTGTTATATATTTCTTTTTTTTTTTTTTATGCAGCAGAGAATTCATTTGGGAGATCTCCCCGTAATCCCCGTTCCCTCTCAAGCCACCCAACATCCCTCACCACTCACACCCCTCAAGCCCCCCTTTCTATCTTTTTCTCTCTCTGGTTGCTGTTTTAGTTTTTTATTTTTATTTTTTTCGTTTTGTTCTGTTTTGCTTTGTCTCTCAATTTTGTTATCGTCGTGAAATCATTCTGTCTCTCTCTCCCTTCTCTTATTTTCTTTCCTTTTCATTTTTTTTCTCTATCGTTAGCGTTTAAGAATAAAGGGAGATCAAAAAGAGGGGATCGGGTGGGTGTGGGGGGTGGTTTGAGAATCGTCACGATACTCGAATTCTACCAAGGACGATTAAAACTAACGAGTAACGAAGGGAACGATGATAATAACCGATGAAAGGGAAGGTCGCGTTGTTACTCCCTAAACGACGTTCCATAGTTCGCTAGCAACATCCCCTTTGCAACCCTTCTCCCCTCACCCCACTACCCCGCCTTCTACTTCATTCCTTTCTTCACTCACATTTGCCCCCCTATTCTTTCTATCTTTCTCTTACTTGCAATTTATATATCGTTTTCTCTACGTTTCGTTTGTTTCTTATATTTCTTGTTTCTTTTTTTTTGTTTTTATCCACTTGCCAAGGAGGAGGTGGTGAGGTGGAGGAGGAGAGGGGGTTGGGATCACGATAATGATTAAATTCCTGTTTGAACTATTGAGAGAGAAAAAAAATGTAATTAGAGAGAGAGAGAGAGAGAGAGAAGGTAATGGTTTTATTTGTTTTTTACTTTAAATAATACGCATTGGTCTAATTAATTGTAAGATAGAAAGAATAAGGGTAACAGACAAACGTTCGAGAAACAAGGATGAAGTAGATTGTTATAGAAAAGTAGAAGTAGTAAAAGGTAGATGTAGACAGACGTAAGTAGAAATCGGAGAATAAGGGGAACAAATAAGAGTCGAAAGAAAAGTTGGAAATACGAGAATGAGGATAGAGAACATAGAGTGAAGTTCGATTTCCTACGATCGCTAGGACAAATCAATAAAATACTAAGAAAGAAATAGAGAAAGAGAGAGAGAGAAAGAAAGAGAAAGAAAAAGAAAGAGAAAGAGAAAGAGAAGAAACAAAGCTACACTTCCTGCATGTTTGTTCTTTTTACGTCTAGTACTTTACTTTTAAACACTATGCCATGTATCGTAAAAGAAAACATAATTGATCAAAAATAAGAATACAAAAGTTACATTATTGGACTGCTTTATTTTGGGGGGGGGGGAGTTTTTTTGTTATTAAACAATAGAAATATTGTAGATAAAGGAAATGTATATTATTTGATACGTATTTATAAAGTTTGTTGCATTTTTAATATAAAAATATATTATAATTTATAGTATATTATATAATTTTTATATATAATATTATACTAGTAATTATATACTTAAATATTTGATTTTTTTATCGTGTATCTTTTACATTTCGATTTGGTTAAATTTGTTCATAACGATGATTAATGTAATTGGAAATTCGTGTGTGTGTGCTTTTTTTGTAAGTACTAAACGATTAAAAATATTGTATTACACTTTTTTATTATTGCGAATTAAATTAACGTTAGAAATAAAGTACTTCGGAAATTATCGAATACGTATATAATATTTTTATCATAATAATAATAATAATAATAATAATAATAATGAAAAAAAAGAAAACAAAGAGTTAAATTTAAACTCATCGAACGGTTGAAACGTTATAAACGATAAGAAAAAAAAACTTTCGACGTTTATTCTCGTTCGAGAATGATTAATCAATCAACGTTTTATTTTTTCTTTCTTTTTTTTTTTTGTTTTTTTGTGTGTAAAAGGGCTTTTGTATTTCTTCTTTTTTTTTTCTTCTTCTTCTTCTTCTTCTTTTATTCTCTTTTAATTGCAAGCCGAAAACGCATTTGCCTACGTTGTCAACGTTGTTCCAGTATGAAAAAAAAAAAAAAAGAAAAAAAGAAGAATGAACCTTCAGTTAAAGTATAAATTGGGAATTAAGTTCTCACTTGTGCGTCGTACCTCTTTCGACGTTGCGTTTTAACCGGTGCATATTCATGAAATAATAAAGAATAAAAAAGAAAATGAAAAGAAAAAAGGAAGTGGAAAAAGGGAAGAAGAGTGTAGAAAAAATAAAGGGAATGAATAAAAATAAAAAAATATAAGAAAAAAGATGAACGAATAAATGAACGAAAATATGAATGAATGAATAAATGAACGAATAAATGAACGAATAGATAGATAGATAGATAGACTGGGCCTCCCTCCCCCTGATGAAGTGCAATTAATTTAGGATGGGTGCATAAAACGCCTGACGATGATCGAGCTCTCTAATAAAATGAAAATTACGATGCGATAATGAACGGTTTTCGATATCGCGCAGAAGGAACTTTAATTGACGGTCTATTTAATTTATCGCAGAGGGGGGGCGGGGGGGGGGAAATGCGTAACGCGACTATAAAATTAACGTCGCATTACGTTTCGGATGCAACATTAATGACAAGGTAAAAAAAGGGTATGATCAAAAAAAAAAACGGGCGAAAGAAAAAGGGTGGGGTTGGTTGAGGACTGGAAGGGACGGGAACGGGGAGGGGAGGTTTATGAATTCTGCAAATGGGGGAAAAAAAACCAGATTTTCGCTTTTTTTATTACGAGAAAATATTATTCAATGGTTCTTCTTTGCCGAAGTGGAAAAATCAAATTAAAATATGCAAAAAGTTGTACAAAAAAATATA